AATCTGAGCAGCTAAGTATCTGTTTAACACTTGTATCATATATATACAGTTGGTTCAGAAAACAACATCTCTTAAATCATAAGCTATGTTTTATTCTCACATTCATCTGAAGCTAGCCAATGTCTCTGCAACATTCAATCTAACATGTAAATTTCATGTAAGGTAAGCAACAGCCTAGAAATGTCACAGGAGATTTATAAGAAAGCATGTGAGGAAAAAACAAAATGGCTAACAAGCCACAGTGTTCAAATCGGTTGAGTGCACTTTGGTTGCTGTTATGCTCCATGCTGGAGAGCTCTGCCCTACTGCAGACAGACCACTTCCAGTACCTGAGCGAGTCCAGACCACAGCTACTTAAATGCTAAAGTCTGGTTTGGATCTAGGCTAGAAGTGAATTTTGCTAGCACTTTACCATAATCCTGAACATTTGACATCTCCCACAAGGAGCGTGGCTGCCTGGTTTCCGTATCAGCCTTTGTAAGGGTTTGTCAAAGGCCTTGTGGAACTCCCAGGAGATTCTGAGCAGATCTTAATCACAACACTCAGAGAGGTTTGTAAAGCAGGACTTATTTTTACAAAAGCCCTTTAAATGCTGACTTCCCCCAGGTATATCGTATTAGTTGGTGGCTCATTTGCTGCCTTCCTGCAGGGGGCTAAGTTGGAGGTTACACACCTCTTTTACCAATTCGACCTCCTTGAGCTGCTTCAGAACTTTTTCGTGAAAACCATCTAGTCCTTAGGACTCATTATCATTCATTTTATCAGTTTCCTGCCTAACCTCTTTTATAGTCTCTTCAATTTGAGATAGATCCTCTTGACAAGTCTATCAGACCTCTTGCCCATTCTCTTGTGTTTCTTTAAGAGTACCAGCTATAGTTTAGTAGTAGTAGCAAGACACTCTCCTGTGCAATATAAGCGTTGCTGTGTTTAAACATCTTAGTTATCAATGTTATTAGCTATTAATGAAGCTGACATAACTGTAGTCAGTTCCCATTTTTTCTGAGCAGCCCCAAATCAAGACTGATCATACAATGACACAGAACAAAGAAATCATTTAGGAAAATGTGTCTTCTGTATGAACGTAGACACAGATGCTACAGTCTGCAAACTCCAACTACTTGGATTCATATTGCTCTGAAGATTAGTAATTGTAATTTAAAACCTTTTCAAACCTATGCTTTCTAGTTTGAAGACAGCTGCTATGCTGCTTGAAGTAGATTGTGAATCTGAATAGAGAATCATCAAGACTGGATTTGTAAAGTAAAAAAACCCCTGTCAATCCCTCTGGCCAGTTGACACACACTTTGTCTCTAACAAAGTGTGGGCCTAAGTAGGGTAACTAAGAAGTTATCTTCCACTGGGACACAAATTATCACCACACTCCCAGAAGGCTTTTCCATTCACAACAGCAGTAGTACAGAGAGGTCACAAGACCTCTTGGTGCCAGACACCATACCAGCCGTTTAGGGACTTCCCAAACTGGGGATTTTGGAAACTTCCACACTTCTGAACCATTGTGCTTAATATGGCCCACCATGTTAGCCCTGCAACACGATTAATCCTAAATCAACTGGAACTTCAAGGCAGCTGTGCCTGTACCCTCTCCCCAAGCCCCCCAGTTTAAAACAAGCAGAGTTTTTGAAATTAAAAACGGCAATACCTAACTGCTTAAATACACACTCATATACACATACATAAAACACTTCAAAGGATTTGGTAAGATAGAACAGGAATGATGTAGTCTTGTAACTAATTCTTCCAAGCCCTTTCTTCTTACTGAACAGATCTTTCTCTCAGACTTTTTCACATCACTTGAGAACACTCTTTGAGTAGCCACAGTCTTGCATGTTCCCCTCTGCTCCCTGGGAAATTGTTTCCACCACCTGAGCCCTGGGCTGGCTGCTGCCTTCTGCTCGCAGCTCTCCAGAAGCTGCAGCTCCCACTCCTGTGCACCCAGGGCCCCAGAGGCTCCTCTCTGGCTGTTTCCAAGGCACAAGCCCTTGTGCCCAGGCTGACCCAGTCATTTCTGATGGGATCGTGACACAACTGTGAATAAAACCGAAACAAAAAGGGATATTGTCCTTCTTGTTACCTTGTTATTTGGCCTGCACAATGAGCCATGGCACTAACTTTCACAGTTTAATGATGCAATTTTGTGAAAAGATTATACCTTTTCTCATTTTTAAGTCTCTCGTCTTGCATTCTTAGATGCCCCAAAACTCGTCTCATAAGAGTGAATAATCACTCCCAATCACCTTCTTTACAATACACATGGCATCTATAGTCTCCTACTGCTTCCGGTCCTAGCTTTTCCCAAGAGAAAAGGTTATTACTTCATATATAAACAATTTGATACTTTTAATCATCCTTGCTGTAGCTTTCTGTGCTTACTGTAAACTGCATATAGTATTTATAGATGCAGTCATATTAGATTTACAAAGTGCAGTTTTTCTGTTCTATTTTCTGTTTCTTTCCTGAAAATTCTTAGCGTTCTATTTCCCTTCAACATTACTAAATAGCGCTGACCTGACGTTTGCAGAGAGGACTCCAAGATCCTTCCCGAGTGCTAGGCAAATTAAACCCCATTGTCATGCATGTACACTTAAGATTGCTTTTTCCTAAACGCACTTTACATTCATCAGTATTGAATCATGTCAATGATTTTAATGCTCAGTCACTTAGTATTGCAGGATACTTCTGCTTCTTTAGACAATCAGCTTTAGCTTTCACTACCTTGTATTATTTTGTGTCAGAAACAAGTTTTGTTGCAGTTACTATCATTCTCTTTTCAGACTGTTTATGAATATTTCAGTAGTACCAGCGCTGGCCTCGCCGCTGTGCTCCTCTGCTTAAATGATGTGTATATTCGGATACCAGTTAATTCTCCATTCTTCCTCTAGCATGAAAACTTATCATATGCTTCCAGGCTTTCCCCTAACTCTTTTATTTTTTCAATTAATCCAGGAGAGCCATTCCCCTTGTCACATAACGGATCAGTTACCTCAACAGCCCTTGATACCTGATTTTGACAAGGATTTTCAGAAATCCCAATTCATTGTACAAATAGGATCATCTTTCTCCATATGCTTGTGCTAGAACATCTTAAAAGAACTCCCAAGAGTTTGTAAGGTACCATTTCCCTTCCAAAAAGTCTTAGCACCTCCCATCACACAGCATTTAACCACGTTCCCTTCCTGCAGGTAGCTGCCACCACCATGAGGACTTGATGGAGACCCATGGGGGTTGCTGAAAGGCCAGCCTTGTCTTGGTAAGATCTAGTCAAAGATCTAGTTTACCAAGATGTTTTGCTTCAGAAGGAGAGCTCTATAAAATGAGGAAATTAGTGAAAAACAAAAAGGAGCAGGCCACTAAGTTGGTTAAGGGACTGGAGCATCTGTCATAGCAGGACAGGCTGAGAGAGTTGGAAATGTTTAGTCTGGAAAAGAGTCAAGGGAATCTTACCAATGTGTATAAATACTTGAAAGGGGCAGGGGGAGTGGGGAACTGGGAACACAGAGCCAGGGTCTCCTCAGCGGTGTCCAGCGAGGGAGGCAACAGGCAGAAACCGAAATATAGGAAAGTCCATTTCAACATAAGAAAAAAACTACTGTGAGGGTGGTCAAATGCTGGAACACGTTGCCTAGATAGGCTGTGGAGTCTCCAATCCTGGAGATACTGAGAAGTCAACAGGGCACAGCTCTGAGCAACCTGCTCCAGGTGACCCTCATTTGAGCAGGGAGGTCAAACTGGATGATCTGGAAGCTCAACTAGTCTGTGATTCTTTAAAAGATAAAATGATAGCAGGCAGCATTCGGACTCTTCTAAGAGCCAATTCAGGGGCTTGGTAGAAACACACACTACCTATCAAAAGGGACTCCAGAAGAACAAAAAAGTTTATGTGGTTGAATCAACTAGTTGTGCCATATTCAAATATGTATGATAGCAAAGAAGCTATCAGAAGTAAAAAAGGCCTCCTGCAGAAAGGGGAAGCAATTTCTAACTCATTTAAAAAAAAAAAACCAACAAGCAAATCAAAAGAAAAAAAAAAGGCAGAGCAAAACCAAGTGTTTAGAAGAAATTTGTTTAAAGCATAAGATTAGTAATAATTTTCTTTTAGGTACAAGAAACCAGCCAGTGGGTGAGACTTCTAGAGGGATAAGAACAGCACCTTGGGAAACAATGCATAGAAAAAAAGCTGAATTATTTATTATTAGGGTGTTCATGATGAAAGTGCTCACACAATGTTCCTACACTAGAACCTTTTTTATAGGTTTACTTCTTTACAGTGTATAACTCTGAGAAAACATCTTGACTTCAAGCGTCAGTAGAAGAGGTTTTGGGAAAAAGTAAAAAATGGGTGGAAAACACTAACAGGACCAGATGACATTCACCTGGCAGTTCTAAAGGAAATTCACCTCCCCCATCAACTATGCAATGTATCTGCTGAGGTAGACTCAGTATCAGAAAAATAGAAAGCAGCAAAAATAATACTAAATTTTCTGAGAGTTTCAGGATTGACCGAGATAGAAGATTTTAATTTCAGTTTATGAAGAACATTGTTTTAGTAATTACTTTCTATTGAAGTATCCCAATAGGTTAAAATGACTCTAAAGGGGTCTAAAGGAAAATAGCTCTTCCAATGGAAGATGTGATTTCTTTAGGAATTTTTAAAACATTGCTTTTGTGTATGCATTTGTATCTGGTTGGCTGGAAAGGTGCAATTTTAAAAGTCCTGGTATTTCTTTGTCACCTATATTCTGCACTATGAGACATTAAAGACAAGAGCTTTAAAACACAGAGAAAATCACAGGAGGAATTCATATCCTACTTGAATTTGAATGGTATCAGAACCTAGCAAAGTGGTATGAAATCCCTACCTGCTCTGGATTTGATTTTTGCTATAGAATTCTATGAAACCCCTCAATTACTGTGAGAATCTGAAAAAATTCTGATCCAGTCACTGGATATTCTGACGTTTGGTTTTTTCTTCCTTTACCTAGGGATGTCTCCAGAACAGCCGTTGCTAACCTTCCAGCCAAAGGACTGGAAAGCCTTAAAGAACTAATGGCCAAAAATACGTGGACTTTAAAGAAATTACCAGCTGTAAAGGTATTTCTTCAGCTAATGAGAGCTGACCTATCATATCCAAGTCACTGCTGTGCTTTCAAGAGCTGGAAAAAAACCAGCGGGTGAGTTTCACTAACTTACATTCAATTTTAAAGTATGTAAGTGAAGACAATGTTTTAGTATTAATATAAAATTACATCTATTGGCATTTTTGTGACCATTTTTCTAGGTATAGAGGACATTCTTTGAAATAAAAATTACAATTTCAAACTGAGAGAAGAAAGAATTTTTAATATAACAATTTGTAGGACCTTTTGCAACAGCTCCTCCTTTTGTTGAGCCCAGAATTAAAGGGGAAAAAAAGAGGGAATGTGCTGTAACACAGAATGTGCTTTCGCAAGGCCTGGAAAAAGAAGTTTTGGAGGGGTTATAGCCTCATGTCTCATATGTTCTCTAACTGAAAAGCTCAGAATAAATGATTCTGTAATAACCTTGTAGACAGATTATTTCAAATTCCATTTCAGCAGGATTTCCAGCCTCCCATCAGAAGAGGTGCAGATAGCTTTTGGAAAGAAAAAAATACATTTATAGATGTCCTAATGCAACACAGTGACTCACCTGCTGGGGGGAGGGTGGGAGGATGACTTACTGTGATTAGCAGCAGAATTTTACTGCAGAATGGAAATCCATTGTAAATTTCTCCAAAGTTCAATAAGGTTTAGAGAATTCTTATCCAGGCCAGCCCCTGATTTAGGAAGACAGCCCCAGTCTTCAGTACCGCAGTATTTGTGGTTGGAATACATAGTATATTAAAAATATGCTATGATAAGTATATGAATTATTCAATAATAAACTTGCAAAGCAATAACATTCACAATTAGAACAAACTAGGAAAAGTGAGGACAGAAATAAAACAGAGTGGAGAGATTCAAAACCTGGACAGGAAGAATGTGCAGAAAGAACCCAGCACAATCTAATGATGGAAAGAAGCAAGTATTTGCATGTCTATTAGTAGAGATGAAAATGTCTCAGACTGAATTCTATGCAATCTCAAGTTGTAAGCCATCTCGTATTCTAGACTACTGGAAATGAGAAACGCTAATGGTTATGTGACAGTGGATCACAGTTCTCAAAAAATTTGATGCCAAATTGCAATTTTTTTCCTAGCAAAAAAGTATGAACAATTTTCAACTACAAATACAGGTTCATCACACCATGAGGTACAGGATTCCCAACGCTACACCGCTAGTTAGCTGTAGAGCACCTACAGAAAATAGATTAGAAATTTAAATGATGGAAGTTCTGGAAGAAATTGATTTGTAAGCAAAAATTAAAAGGAAAGTAATACTGTGTGTATTATCTACGAAGTTATAAACAGTAGGTTAAAGTCTTGTTATCTACTAAGAATGCAGATCCCAAGTAGGAAGAGGGATTATGGATGCTGAACAAACTAAATTACTACTGGGGATAGGTGATAGCAACAGAGAAAGGAAAAACATAGTTTAAAAAAAAAGCCCAGAAACACTCAAGCTTATTGTTCACTATATGTTCTGTTAACAGAAATATATCTGATCACATTTTTATAGCTATGTTTTCATTCACAGTGATTTGTTTTTGAAGTGTTCCCTTTGTTTACTCACTGCACTCCAGTCAGATGGTAAATGCCAGCAGTAATTTCCTCCTCTATTCTTTCAGAATCCTGGAGTACCTGACATGTAACCAGAGCAGCAGTCACAGCTTTCGTAAGAGAAGATCAGTCAAAGCTCTCAGAGGTCCTTTTTACAAAGATTATGCAGAAGAATACACAGACCACACTGATACTGCGTATGACAAAAACACCAAGTTCACAAATCTTCACGAAAATTCCCATTATTACATTTTTTTGGAAGAGCATGGAGAAGGGAATCTTGGGTTTGGCCACGAGCTCAAGAACCCTCAAATGGAAGATGTCCAGACCTTTGACAGTCATTATGACTATCCCGTCTGCGGAGGCAATGAAGACGTAATATGCACTCCAGAACCTGATGAGTTTAATCCCTGTGAGGATATAATGGGATATCAATTTCTGAGGATTGTGGTGTGGTTTGTGAACCTGCTGGCGATCCTAGGTAACATTTTCGTCCTTTTCATACTTCTCACCAGCCATTATAAACTGACTGTACCACGCTTTCTGATGTGTAACTTGGCCTTTGCTGATTTTTGCATGGGGCTATACCTCCTCCTGATCGCTTCAGTGGATCTCTACACCAGGTCAGAGTACTACAACCATGCTATAGAGTGGCAGACTGGGCCTGGTTGCAACACAGCTGGCTTTTTCACAGTCTTTGCTAGTGAACTTTCTGTGTACACACTGACTGTGATCACCCTGGAGCGCTGGTATGCCATCACTTTTGCCATGCGCCCAGATCGAAAGATTCGCCTCCGGCATGCTTTGATTATCATGCTGGGAGGGTGGTTCTCATGCTTTCTTCTTGCCCTTTTGCCACTCGTTGGCGTCAGCAGCTATAGCAAAGTCAGCATCTGCTTGCCTATGGACACTGAAACACCAGTGTCTGAAGCCTACGTTGTCTTTGTTTTAATATGTAACATTATTGCTTTTGTCATCATTTGTGCCTGCTACATAAAAATCTATGTAACTGTGCGAAATCCTCAGTACAAGTCAGGGGACAAAGACACCAAAATTGCCAAGCGGATGGCTGTGTTGATTTTCACTGACTTTGTGTGCATGGCTCCCATCTCCTTCCATGCTTTATCTGCCATTATGAACAAACCACTGATAACTGTCACCAATTCCAAGATTCTGCTGGTACTCTTCTACCCACTCAATTCTTGTGCCAACCCCTTTCTTTATGCTATTTTCACCAAAGCTTTCCGAAGAGATGTGTTTATCCTGCTAAGCAGGTTTGGTATATGTGAGCATCAGGCTCAAGTCTACAGAGGTCAGACAATCTCAGCCAAAAACAGCAGCAGCTCTTACGGGCAGAGAATCAGCCGAGGGCTAGGTCAGATTCTTAGAAGCACTCAAGACCCAGTCAACAATTACCTTCCTGCTGTGACAATGCAGAACCAAATTCTCATGGAAGAATGCAAGCAAACTGAGCTATAACATCTCAAAGTATCACAGTCACAATCTGGTCATGAGGTGGTTGTGCATACAGTGAATTGAGTGAGAAGATAACGTATTCTCCATATAATTTTTCCTTAGCCTATCCTTTGAGATGTCTCAAAGTACCTTCAGAGTGGTCTTCTTTTAGACAAGTCACTCATTCAAACGTCTTGTCTCACACTCTTATCAGTGCAGGTCATAAGATACTGTTCTGATGATAATGCTGGAAGCAGATGTGAATGCTTTATCTAAATAGGAAAATGTGTATCTGTAAACTCAGCAAATATGAAATATACCCTCATCTAAAAAATTTAAGGAAGCAGGAGACCAAGCATAAAACTTGGGGGTACTTGTATGACTAAAAAAAGGACGTAAAGTTTTATAATTAAAATGAGATGAAAAAAAAAATATTAGAGGTTGAAGTTCTCAAATGCCAACTGCCTATGTGTCAAAAGGTTCAACTGGTTTTCTAATAGCAAATTTCTAAGACTTCCACCAGGGCCTAAAATGGAACAGATTCCTTTTGCTTCTGCCATCTTGACCTAAAACAAAAGCTAGTCTTGTTTGCAGTTCTTGGTTTAGTTGCATGAGGTGGGAAAAGAAGCCTCTTCATATTGCCTTTATAACAGTAAAAGGCAAATGTCATTGATTTTGTGGCTGCTCATAAGCTATAGGTAGGAAATATTAGGGCATTTTTCTCTGTGTGCTGCAAGAATTCCCTTACTATCATGCTCACTTTTTAATAAATCTACTTAGGAGATGGTTTAGTTTGAATTTGTTTTGAAGACCAGTCTACCCAGTCAGGTTAATAATGTTTGTATTTTTTTGATGGCTGAAACTTAACATTGTACTAAATTTTCTCCCAATTATTCATTCTTTACCTGATTCCAGTACTGTTTTATCTGAGCACATTTATCACTTTGAACACCCTGTAACTACTGCTTTCTCACCACTACTGTTATCCCTACTTAACCCTCTCTTACAGGGCTAGAATGACTTTCCTTTTAGCACTTGCTATGTTGAGCTGCCTCAAATCTACACTTAGACAAAGGGATTGTGCCTTCAGGATACTTCATGCCCTTCAGTTACTGAATTGAAGGCTAACCACTAGCTCCCCCAACATGTTTTAAGAACATCTGTCCATCTTGTAGTGACATCTGTTGTCTGACTTCTGCAATGTCTGCAGTACAACTACATAAACCACACAGTTAGCTTCTGGTTGCCATAGCCTGTCTGTAGCTTAGACACATACTCTCCATACTGTGCTTAAGGAAATCAAAGCTCAGATACAAGGAACAACCCACAGCCTTTTGCTCCAGTGAAGCACTAAAGCATTCTTCTGCCATACCTGCTGCTAGATGGGGCCAGACCAAATTCAAGCTTGGCTGTGCTCAGTTCATCCATACACCACAAACAAACGAACCAGGGCCTGGCTCTCCACATCTCCTGCAGACATCAGGACTCAGGGTAGGAGATGCACTGCACCAGCTTGCTTGTTAATACTTGTGTGGCCTGAGTGCCTGGTTTTGACAGCAGGATCAGACCTGTTCTCAGCCAGCTGTAGAGATGAGCTCTGTAGGACTGCTACCAAGATTACCATTGATCATTTCACTCATCTATTTGGAAGGCATACCATGAGAATGGAGAATATTGGCTGAATCTTTGCTTTCAGGTAGGTATTTTAAAGCTCATTTTGTACTATCTATACTGTTTTAAATGGAATTACAGTCTTTGAGGAACTGAATTCAACTGAGCAGACAGCAGTGCAATCTTTCATAGTGTGGGTTAGTAGAATCCAGAAAAATTTAATGGTAGAGCCCTTCAAACTGCTAGCTACTACAGCTGGAAATTGCATGATTGCAAATGCCATGTACATACTCCCAATTCAAACTCAGTTTGATTCCATATTCTTGATTATAAATGAGGGCTGCTTCAGTGAGCAGAAACAAGGGCCTAGATTCACCAACTCTGTGAGATGATCTCAAAAAAAAAAAAAACCAAATTGTCAACACCATTAAAAATATACAATATTGCATTATAGATTAATTTAGCTGCTTATTTTGGGGGAGGGCAGGCTTCCATTTTTAGTTGATTTTCAGCAAACTTTGAAACCAGAACTGCTGAAAACCACGCAAATAATAATTTATGACCTCCTCTTCTGTGATCTGGACTCAGCCAGTGTTAATCAGAAACATAAAAGTAGCTTAAGTGTGCAGATCAGCAAAATTTCCTACTCTTGAAATGGTGCATTTGGAATGCTCTGCCCGTGTCTGAAAGTCCCATACAAAATGCATTATGTTCAGATGCAACCCTTGCCCCCCGGGTTCTGTCACCTTTCTGATACTGGAATAATCATTAAAGGGAGAAAAAGTTTCCTGAGTGCCTTTATTTAGTATCTCAGCAGCAGCTAAGACAATCAAGTTCTAATGGACAAACTGTACATTTGTGCTACAGAGTTCATAGATACTAGTGTACCAGTGGAAAAGAAAATCCAAGCTTGAATCATTCTTTTTCAGAAAGAGAGGAAAAGACTAATCAACATTTATTTTAAAAATGCTTTTAAAAGTAACATGGATCGCTTATTTCAAACCTCTTTTTACCTTAAAACAAACCAGAATATTTGTTCCATGGAAACTAGTAGGACATTGGAAAGGTATGGTATGTTGGACTGATTGCAGTATGCTTTCGAATGAATACAGCTGTTTGCTGTTACTAATGGATGACGGATATATTTACACATTATTGAACTTTTTATCTCCCATCATTGCATGTATTTATTGTCTATTGAAAGAATTCTGTGATACTGCCTTTGTGAACAAAGTTTGATATTTCTGGTTTATGTCTTGCCTATTCGTTCTTGTGTTTTAATTTTTTAAAAAGTATTTTAAAAGCTATTAGAAAGATCCAGGCAATAGACTTTAAATAATTTATTTGCCAGACTTTTTCTTGTACATGTTTGTATCCTATAGATATTCTCTTCCATTTCTGCTCTGATCAATCCCTTCAGCCATTTTTCATTTTGCTTATACCCTTACGTAATACTTGCTATTTTAAATCTGTCTCAGCAAAATGCATTCAGTACATATTTTCTCTAGAATACTTCAGAAATAATGCAGAGCATTGGAATAAAGTGTTTTGTTTGAAATTGCAAAAGGCTCAGCAAGTTTCTTCTGAAGGTTTTAAAATATTTTTTCTATAAAAGAAATTAATACTCTTTCTCTTGCACTCAACTTCCTTGTTCTCCTTGGCTGGCCTACAGCCAAAAAGACTGACCAGATGACATACTGTTTGACAGAGGTTTGGGGTTTTTCCCCACCACTAGGTGGGAAAGGGATGTCCTACATGGCCATCTCAGTGCAGCAGGGAGGGAAAGGAACAGTAGTAGTACTGCTGAGCTCTGGGGTTCCAAAACCATCATTAATTACACTCAAGATAATCACAAGAATCACCTAACAGCCATGAGGTCCTCTTCAAAAGAATAAATCTGGAATCTGATCTTTTCCATTCTCCTTTCTAAACCTAATGTGTATGTGACAGCCACAGTGACTAAGGATTGGATGCTTCATGAGAAAACACTTGTGTAATAAGAAGTTTGTGTTGTGGAGAGACTCTACTGCAGGAATTCTCAGAATAACTAAATTAATCTGTCCATATGCAACATTACAGAACATCCCTCCCTCCCACTAGGTCTTCCCTCATAGCAAATGTCCCTTGTCCTATATTTTCCAAAATTTATGCTGCCAAATTCTATGTTCGGTAATTCTCATCAGTGGGGTAAAAAAGTTATCTTTGTTATATGGATCCTTGCTACCTGGAAAAAAACAGGTGAGGGACAGCTCCTCCTACTGCTGAAAACTGTCAAAGTGCTCAAGTATTGGTTAACTCTTGACATACCCTCCCTGTCCCAAAAAGCTCAGCTGACTTCAGTATCTGTGCACCTTGCCACTGCCTGTAACTGTGCTTCCCTCTTACATGAAGCTTTAGGGTGTAAGGAAAGCTTTTTCTCAGTTGTAGATGCTACCTGGCATCAGCTAGGACAATTAACCTCACAGGCAAGAAGAAAATCCAACGGCCCAACAAATGACAAGGAATAAATAGTTCTTTCCAGGAGGCCTATGTTGTTCAGTATGTGCATAAGGGACCTGGAAAAAGGAGTGAGCAGTAAGATAACACACTTTGCCATAATATTAAGATATTCAGAGCAGTAAGAAAAACAGACGGCTACAAAGAACTGTAGGAAGACTTCTTAAGACTGAATGACTGGCAAGAGGAATTCAGTGTAGATAAATATATAAAGTGATGCACATGGTAAAAAAAAGACAAACTGACATCATAAATGATGTGTTCTGAGCTGACAATCCCAACTCAGGAACAAGATCTTAGGGGTACAGTAGAGAAGTCCATGAAAATACCAGCTTATGCTTCCTGGACATCAAAAAAGCCATCAAATTAAATTATTGGGAAAGGAGCAGAACATAAACCCAGTAATTATTATATCACTGCATAAATCTGCACCTCGAATAACATAGCTCTTGTCTCTGCACCAGAAAACCTATGTAATAGAACTAGAAAAGTTTCAGAGTAGGGTAGCAAGGAGAATGAAAGGCTTGGAGTTACACCTAAGGAATCACTAAATAGGACTCCTTGGACTAGAAGGGCAATGACAAAGCTTGATAAAGTCATGAGCAGGCAGGAGTAGCTGAGTTACTGAACTTCTTGTCAAAGGCTGCTGTGGGTAATAAAGTTCACATGGGTTTATGGAGATACTCAGAATTCATGGAAGAGAAATCTGTGGAAAAATACTAAAACCACAAAAACTGTCTGTCTCAGGATGCTTTTGAATTGCGAATACATGGCAGATGGGAGGGAGTACTTGGGGAGTGTATCATACATGCCTGCCTATTCTTTTATGCTTCGCTCGCCACACATTGTTAGCAGCTACCACAGTCAGGGTTCTGGCATAGATAAAAGACTTTTGGTCTGTTCCATGGCAGCCACTT